ATGCAGCTAATAAGGGGATGAAGCTGAGATTCAAACCTTAATTTTTCTGGCTCCAAAGCTTGCTTTTGTCCTATTACCTCAGGCTGCCTCTGTTACCTTTGTGTTAAGAAAGGGTTTTTACAGCCACCATCAAATGGAGTACCATCGCATGGACGTAGCATTAAAAACAATGAATGCATGGAACTGTGTTTCTATGTCCATTTATAACAGCACACTGTCCAATAGAAATATGAGCCATATAGATGATTTACAAGTTTCTATTACCCACAGGGAGAAAAAAAAGGTAAAAAGAAACAGATGAAGTTATATCTTATTTAACTCAATATATTTTAAATGTTATTTCAACATGTAATCAATATAAAAGAATATTAATGGGATAATTTACCTTCAAATAGAACTTTCTGCAATGACAGCCATGCCTGGCATCCACACTGTCAGCCTGGCAGCCATTAGCTTCCTATGGCTACTGAGCACTTGGCATGTGGGTAATGAGACTGAGGAATTGACATTTTTATCCTATTTCATTTTGGTTACTTTAAATGTAAGTCATCACACGTGGCTATATTATTAGACAGGGCAGGACACCGAGATTTCATCTTCCTCTCTTACTTAGTCAGGACCCACTCTCCAGGGTGATTTCTGCAGAGCGAGTGCCCCGTTCATCCATCATATCTGGCCTGTAGCCTGTGGGTCTGACGCTGGGACTCCAGCCAGCATTGCACATCTCATCTGTCTCTTTGTGGGTGTCTGCCTTCTCTTCTCCCTTCCCCCCACCCAATGCTGGCCGTGGGATCCCTCTGAGCTGAATCAGCCTCTCAGTCAGCCAGGAACTGCCAGCTCAGATCCCTTGCTCCTTGGGTCCCTGTATGCATCCATCCCCCCAAGATGAGGTCACAAACCTTCATTTGTGTGTGCCTGGGTGATACTGAGAAGACACACTCAGGGGCTCCCCATTTGCCCCTCCTGCCTTTTATTTCACCCCAAGATGCTTCTCCTTCCCTGTCAGTCAGTGACTGGCTAACAGCATAGTACACATGACACGCAACACTGTCCTCTCTGCTTTGCCCTGGAGCTGCTGTTCCGCTGGCATCCAGTTGGGCTGTGAGGTTGCACCATCTCAGAGCAGCCCGGGGCCTTAAAGCCTTCAAACCTAAGGCAGCCATTCCTCCAAGGTTCACCCCAACAGTCCTGAATCGAAATATTTGTGTCCTGTAAACCACCAAAACATCCCTAGATATGCCAATATTTCAGCATCTACAGAACAGTTTTGTGCGCTCAAATGCCACACAGATTTTTCATGATATGACAGGCATCCCAATTTCTAGGTCAAAAAGTACGGCCAAAAAATTAGTCCATACACAGCAGACACTGACTTGGTCTGGCTCCAGTCTATACAGGAGCTTGGGCAATTTACCCAAGTTCTCTGATCATCAGTTTCCTTAACTGTGAAATAGGAGTGATAATGCCTTGGATATTCCAGCAAATCCGTCCATAATAAGTTGCATGGTTGCTGCCTGCAGGTAGACTACAGACTAGAACACTATACAGGGACACAGGGCAGCCACAGTGCTGCAGGAGTGAAGGCCTGATGCCAAGACGGCCCACCCCACCACAGGTGGTCAGAATCCCAATGAGGGTCCTTTTCCTCCTAAGTGATTGTAACTGAGATCCTAGGTATGACTGCAAAATTCTCCTTTTCTTCCTTGTTTTTCAAACATGGACGTGAAGATAGTTAGACCAACCTATAAAATGGAGTTATTTCTATATCACACAGCCCAGCCTTCCAGCCACATTAATATCTGTTCCTTCAAAAAGAACAAAAGAAAACTGCACATTTGAGAAATACACACGATTTTTCCTTTGTTGTTGTTACAAAATGGACCCACAACTGCCCCCCCCCAGGACCCAACATATAGCTGCCAGATGGCATTGCTGACACCTGCTCTCCCTCCTGGTATTCCCCACCCAGTCCCCAGAATCACCTTTTGGACACATAGGAGCTGACTGTGTTATATTCCTGTCCAAAACCCTTCTGGGCTCCTCGTCGCTGACAAGACACTATCCATGGCCCTGGGCTCAGTCCACAAGGTGCTTCTGAAGCCACCCTTCTGTCCTAACCATGCCACCCACCTGGGAGGCCCTCGGCCTGGCTGCTGCTGAGATGCTTCCCTGCACCTTCTATGGTCCCGTGACGGCCTATACACACACCCACTGTGCAGCTACCATGTTGCCCTGTGGTCAGTTACATGTCCATGCCCTCACACTCTAGGCCCACTTAGGCGAAGACTGGGTCTTTCCAGCACAGTGAGATAAGTGGAAAGGGCCTACACGGGGAGTCCTGGGAACTTAATTTGGATGTTGGCTCTGTCACCTATAGCTAGGTGACTTTAGGTCAGTAACTTAACTTCTCTGAACTTGTTTCTTCCTTTGCAATGGGGGGATCACTATATTTATTGTACAGAACTGTTAAAGGGGTTAACTGAATGTAATGTACCTAGCAAAATCAGTGGCTAACAGCTTAGAAAGACCGTTTTATTCCTGGCATTGCATGTACCTAGATCCATGAACATGATCTATACTCAACAAGGAGTAGATCTCCCTTCAGTCCTGGTTCTGCCACTTAGATGGACAAGCCAGTCCTCTGCTCCATATCTCCCTGTCCCCATCTTCAAAACGCATAAACACCTCCCAGGGTCATTGTGAGCATGAAATGAAATAAGAGGCATAAAGGGGCTTCAGAGACTGTGAGGCGCTGTGTACATGCAACAGGCCATCCTGAGTCAGAGCACCAGTCCCCTGAGGGCTGGGCCCCTGACCATGGGACTTGCTGTTGGAGGCCATGGCCCCCCTTCAGGGCCTTAGCAGGACCCTTCCTTCCTCCCTTCACCCCTAACAGTGTCCTCTTCACCCAGTAGCCACAGGGACACAGCTCCCTCCTAAGCCCCCTCTGTCCCCAAACAGTAGGCCTCTCACCTGGCTGCTAAGAAACAATGTCCCACCCCCTGGGGAGTGGGGCCCACTGCCTTCCTGGTGCTCTGTCATGGAGTCTGAGACCCACCAAGTGGCGGGTCCCCAGAGAGCTGCAGGAGTCAGGACATCAGTCCTTGCGGGGGAGGGGGGTGGCAGTCTTCTCCGTCGTCACTCCCTGTGCAAGTTGGTGAGCCTTGCAAGGAATAGGGTCAGCTCCACGGACATGTGACCACCAGAGTCCCACAGGGCTTATTCCCAGAAGGGCCGCAAACTTGGAGTCTAAGGCTCTGCAGTCACCATCTTGAAATTCTTAATAGCTTTATCTTGGTATCTGCGCTTTGTAAGTGAAGTGATGGGACAGTGGGGCATGTGTCAGGGACTTGGAGCCTCAGCTCAGTCAGGGTTCCACCTCCCGCTGTCTCCCTGGATGGCCCAGTCTCAGGCCCCTGGGAACCCCAGGCCCCTCTTGACTTCCCGTCTCACCCACCCCCCAGCAAGGGCCTGGCCACAGATGTGAGGAGGGTCCGAGTGCCCTCTTGGGGTGGGGCATGGCAGCAGCCACCCCATCCAAGGCTGGCAGTTCCACAACACATGTGGCACACAATGGGGGGGGGAGCCTCTTGCCCACCCGTGATCCAGCTGCCTACAGAGTGGCACTGGGGTTTCAATACTCTTGGGGGTCACCTGTTCTCCATGGGTTGGAGTGGCCAGTTTATGGGAAAGGAGGTGCCTGATTGACTTCCCTGCACTTGGCCAGGACATGGCACATCAGCCCAGCGGCTGGGAGGAGAGGTGACCCAGAAGCTGGTGGGCCACACAGTGCCCCAAATGGTGGGACAGGGCGCCCAGGTGTCTATGACGGTGTGCGCTTGTCCCTTGAGTATCCCTGCGCCTGATGGAGTACAAGATTAAATAGCAAAATGACCATGACAGGTCTAGAGAAAAACCATGGAAGATGGGCTAAAGCTTGATATGTTGGTACCTTTAAAGGCACTTTTTTCCTCTGCGTTTTGAACAAGGAGCTCCACCTTTTATTTTACACTGGAACCTACAAATTGTATAGCCAGTCCTAGTGAGGCCATGAAGTTCCTTTTCAATCCCAAACATCTCCCTCCTCTGTGTGAGAACCTCTCAGCCATTTCTCCTGCTAAGCAGTGAAAACAGACAGGACAATTCCCGGGTGGTGACCACAGAGGACCCGGCACCTCCCTGTCGCCCAGGCAGAGGTGTCCCTTGCCCTCTCCAGCTCTGCTGAGTGCTGCCAACTTGTCGTGCCACGTGAATGATGCTGATGATAAGTTCTGGTGACAGCAGGCCCTTTCATCCTCGAACAGACCAAACACGGGCTGAAATTAGGCAGCTTCCCTGCCTCAGAGCTGCAGATAGAAGGAAGCAGGGACAAAAGGGGTGCAGGACACAGGCTACATCTCAAAGCACAAGCTGTGAGCAGAAGCCGGGGCCAGCACATGCTGCCTGGGGAAGAAAGGGGAGCGTGGAGGCTTAGGTTTCACTGAAATCAGTGGCCTCCATGGGAGAAAACAGCAGCTTACACCTCCAACAGCAAAGGCTGTCAGCTGAAGGAAAGAGCTCAAAATTACTGAAAGGCAAGAGGATTCGAATTTAAAACAAGCCTGATTTAAAACGAGACTGCCGCGTACAGTCCCTTTTCTGCCCCTTGCAGAGCGACAGTCTGTACTCTGGGGACCTGCCTATTTAGGGAAACTGCTGGAAATAGGCAATCTAGATCAGGGCCAGGGTTCGCTCCGCTCAGAACCTGTGGTCCTAGCAGAATTTTTCATTTTTGTTTGTAAAGAAATAAGAATTAATCACTCCCCACTGAATAAAAAGAAAGGCAACAGGGCCATTGCTCACATTTCATGACCTAGTGTCCCCGAAAGGGGTTGGGACAGGGGGAAAAAGAACTCTGGGCGAGTTTAGAATCTGCAAAAGCCTGAGTACATTTATCCAAGATAAAACCGCTCCATCTATTTTTTCAGAAATGCAATTTGTTTGGTCAGAGCAGGCCAGTGAGATAGTCACTCTGTTAGCCAAGCGCTAAGGAACACTAAAGTATCATTAGACATGTAATTACGGGTACGCAGAGAAAAATACACTCGGGAGAATTCCCTTTATGGCGAGTGATATATGAGACTGGAAGAAATATTTCACTGAAGCAGGGAGGGGAAGGAGGCATAAGGCTTCCCCCAAGGGTTGTGGTCGAGTACTGTAGGTTGTCAATAAACTGCTTTCTAAGAAGGGTGGTTTCTGATTTCCTGGGGGCCCTTGTTTTGCTACGTAGAGCATCTGGGAAAGAGCAGAATTGCTAAAGAACATAGGGGAGAGATGGAACCCTGTCCCTTGGGCCCCCGGTTCTGTGCCCTTCCCAAATACTGAGCTCAGCCACTCTTAAATCTCAAGATTTCTTGAAGTGTGAGGTCCATGTTGAGGAATGGAGGACAGAAGAGTCTAGATGATGGACTATACGGGGGTGAGCTGCAAAAACAGATTTTTTAAGCCAGAGAGCCCTGAGGTCACTCGGGCCCTGCATGACCTTGAGCTCTTCATTGAGCTCTCTGCATCTCCATTTCGCATCTATATGTATAATGAGGATGTCTGGAGACTTTCTAGACATGATCAAATATCTCAAAGAAGAAAACACGAGTGGTCTCCCTACAGAAATTAAAAAGAAAAGGATGCCCACCATCTCCACTGCTATGTAACATCGGTCAGACGCAATAGTCAATGGGATTAGATAACAACAAGCAATTGGAGGTATAAGAAATGGAAAGAAAGAGGGCAAATGTTGGTCTTTCTGGAAGGCTCAAGGGGATCCATGGGTAAACTATATAACAAACAGTGAGATAATTTTAGTAAAGTAGCAGGTTATAAAATAACATTAGTGGGCTGGCTGAGTGGCGCAATGGTTAAGAACCGGCTTGGGATGCCAGAAGGCCCAGGTTCGGATCCCACATATGAGGGCCAGTGACACTGCCCTCCACAGCTAAGATGGTGAACAACAGCTCAACCTGGAGTTGGGCTGCCGTGAGTTGCCGGCAACGGCATAGGCTGCAGCCCCTGCTGCAGTGGGTTGCCATGGGATACCGTATGTAGCCAGCAGCCAGTGTAAGTCGCTGGCAGCCAGCGTGGGCTGCCATGAGCCTCCATGAGCGGCCGTCCAATGGCCAGCGAGCAACTGCCTCACCCGGGAAGAGCTCAATGATAATACCAACATGGGCCAGTGAAGCGACGTCCTCCACAACTAGACTGAAGAACAAAAAGGACAGCAACTTGTCTGTTCCCCTTCCCTGACTCCCCAATAAAATCTTTAAAAAAAAAAACCAAAAACCAATGGATGAAAGAATAGACTTTTTAATAAGTGGTATTCAGACAAATGGACAGTCAGAAGGAAAATAATAAAATTGGATCCATCCCTCACTGTACCCGAGGATCAATTCTAAATGTATCCTATATTCAAATATAAAATAGGAAACCATATAAATAGAAAGCACAGATGAATTCCTTTCCAGCCTTGGTGTGGGAACTTTTTCCTTGATATAATTTAAAATCTAAAATGAATAAAGGAAAATATTGATAAATTTGATTACCAGAAATTTTTAAATTTTGCATTGAAGAATAATACCATAAGCAAAGATAAATGACAAACTAAAAAAAAAAGCATTTGCAACTTAGAAACTTAGAATTTAAAAGGTTACTGTCCCTATTCTATAAACAGCATTTAAAATCTGAGGTTTAAAAAACAGCCAGCAACACTCTTATTTTTAATAAGCTAGAGATATGAGTGGACAGTTGACATAAAAAATAAATGGAAGTGGTTTTTAGCCATATAAAAGGATGCTCAAATTCACTCATAAAAAAATTAAAAAAAAAAACTACCTGAGATACCATTTTTACCTATCAGTTGGCAAAACTCCAAAAGTATGTCAATCTATTTTGTTGATGAAGCATTAGGGAAGCAGGCAAGTTCATACAGTGCTGATGGGAATAGAAAATATTACAACCTTTTTGGAGAAGAATTTGGCAAAATCTAGACAAATTATATATGGATTTATGTATATGTAATTTGATCTAGCAACCCCAATTCTAGGAATCTCTCTCAATGACACATTGACAAAAACATGAACAAGGAGTATGCATAAGGCTGTTTATTTCAATCTTATCAATAATAGCAAAAGACTGGAAACAATCCAAATACCTATCAGTAGGGGACTAGTTGAATAAGCAATGATACATCTACAAAAGAAATGAAGAATAGCTCTGTAACTATTATGGAGGGACCTCCAGGATATATTCTACAGTTAAAAAGCAAGGTGGAGAGAGTGTGAATGTCATTCTACCCATTTATCTAAGAAAAAGGGAGGGATAGGAACAATACATACACATTTGCTTATAATTGAAAAAATAGAATGGAAAAATAAACCATA